GCCCAAACCAGGCTCCCGAAAGTACCACAATAGCTTCCAAAAGGCCTGCTGGCTTTTACGAGCTCCCCAAAGAAGCTTCCGAAGAGAGCCTCAAGAAGCCACAATCGTCGAATTCCTGGGAGGAAACGCGCAGAAGTCTGGGGAAAAATGTGGAATGTTTTTCAGACGAGAGGCTGCGAGACAAGATGCACGGCGCGAAACGCCAGTGCAGTCTTGTGTGTATGTGTATATACATATACATATATATACACATATATATATATATATATATATATATATATATATATAGGGACGTCGTTATCTCTCCTTGCTTCTGTCTGCTGGCCCGCCTCTGTCCCTCCCTCTTCGGGCGAGCCCATTCCCTCACCCATCCCGCCGTCTGGCGGGAGCGTAGGGGCTAAGGTGGCGCTCACCTTCTTCGGGTTGAGAGCGCTGGGATCCGAGTCGCGCCTATCCCCCCTCGGGCGTACATAGCCCACCCTGCCCGGGAACCTTCGGGTCTGGCTACAGTCGTCCCTCCTCCTCCTCCTCCTCCTCCTCCTCCTCCTCCTCCTCCTCCTCTTCGTCTTCCTCCTCCTCCTCCTCCTCCTCCTCCTCCTCCTCCTCCCCCTCCTCCTCCCTATTCCTCCCTCCTCCCTACTCTTCCTCCTCCTCCTCCTCCTCCTCCTCCTCCTCCTCCTCCTCCTCCTCCTCCTCCTCCTCCTCCTCTTCCTCCCTATTCCTCCCTCCTCCCCCTCCTCCACCGCCCCCCTCGCGCAGGGGCGCCAACTCCCTGAAGGCCCCGCCGAGGAACCCCTTGCTGGATGTTTTTCGCGTTTGCGGTATGTTCTTGTGCATCATGGGGCGGATGCCCTTCGATGTCCTGTGTGTTTTGGTCGGCGGAGGCTCTCGTGTTTTTGAGGGATGTTCTTCTGGGGGCCCATCGGCAATCTGATATGTCGGCGATGCGTCGCCGAGGCAAGCTCGGCGCTTCCCACGCTGGCCCCCCCTCGATCGTTCCCCCATCACCCCCTCCTGTCGAGAACAAGCATGAACTTTCGGAAGTCCGCGCGGGTTTCTCGGATCGGCGTTGGACCCCTTGGCGGCGCGGGGTGGCCATCGCCGTTCCAAGAAGTCTGCGCGGGCCTCCAAAAATCTGCGCCGTTTTCGATGTGTCTGTCCTGCCCCCTCCTCTCTCCTCCTCCCTCCCTCCCTCCCTCCCTCCCTCTCTCCCTCCCTCTTTCCCTCCCTCCCCCTCCTCCTCCTCCTCCTCCTCCTCCTCCTCCTCCTCCTCCTCCTCCTCCTCCCCTCCCTCCTCCTCCTCATCATCATCCATCATCATCATCATCATCATGTCATCTCATCATCATCAATCCTCTTCTCCTCCCTCCTCCTCCTCCTTCCTCCTCCTCCTCCTCTCTCCTCCTCCTCCTTCTCCTCCTCCTCCTCCTCCTCCTCCTCCTATCCTTATTCCTTATTAGAATATACTCCTACTCCCCCCTCAGGCCGGCCATTAGGGGCCGCATCCGGGGGGTCCCATCCTAACCTGTAAAAAACAATACAAAATCAACATTTTTCTTATTTTTTCCTCTCGACATGGACGTCCTGTCGGCCACGGCGATAATCCATTGCAAAAAATACCACAAAGAGCACACGCGCGCGTTCATGTCAGAATCCTACCGAACACCGTGTGTTTGCAAGCATTTCAACATAAAAACATCAAAAAAAAAAAAACCAATGCTTTTTCACAAAAATTGTACAAATTTCCCGCCCGGGCTCTCTTGCTGAAATCATAGGAAAACCATAGGAATCTTAAGAATTCTGTCAAATCCAGCGATGTCACGTCATCGCGCGGTGCACTCGCGATGCTTTGTCATGCACCCAGGCCGCGAATCCTGTGCAAAAAATACCACAAAGAGCACACTCGCGCGTTCATGTCAGAATCCTACCGAACACCGTGTGTTTGCAAGCATTTCAACATAAAAACATCAAAAACCCAATGCTTTTTCACAAAAATGCTTTGGGGTGTCCTGTCAGACCGTCGGGCTTCCTCCGGCCACCTCTGGCTTCCTGCGGTGTACCGGGCCATTCTCGACTCGTCTGGCAATGCGTGCGCGGCATTCAACACGCGCTCGCCAGTTCCCGTCGGCAACCGCCATCGCGGCCGCATCAGCTGTACCAAACCGGCTGGCCGGTGTGACTTCGGCCCCCAGTTGTGCCAGCTTTGCTTCTTATGTTGTGGGAGGGCGGGTGGGACTGGGCATGCCATGCTTGACTCGCTCGAGCTGGCTAGCTTGACTCCTACTCTACTCCTACTGTACTCCTCCTCCGCCTCTCCTCCTCCTCCTCCTCCTCCTCCTCCTCCTCCTCCTCCTCCTCCTCCTCCTCCTCCTCCTCCTACTCCTCCTCCTCCTCCTCCTCCTCCTCCTCCTCCTCCTCCTCCTCCTCCTCCTCCTCCTCCTCCTCCTCCCCCCCCCTCCTCCCCCCCCTCCCCCCTCCCCACGCCTCCCTCCTCCACCGCCCCCCGCGCGCAGGGACGCCAAGTCCCTGAAGGTCTGGCCGAGGACCCCCTTCAGCTCCTGCACGCTGGAGAACCTCGGAGAAACCACGAGCAGGCGGCTCCTCTCCGGGGGACGCTCGGCGGGCGCGGGCTGCGCGGGGGGGCGCTGGGGCGCTCCTCTCCTGCAGACGTCCACGGCCTGCCGACGGACTCGGCTCGACCAGAAGACGGACGACACCACGCCACCCACTCAGAGGATGGAAAGGGTACCCATACCGCCACCCTGCCTCCGTTTTCCCCTTTGGGGGGCCTCCTGGGCGGCCTTCGTCGCCACCGCTGGATTCGCCTCGAAATTCTGGTCAGAACGCACCCCAGGAGAGGTCCAGGGAGTAGCGGTATCGGTACCTGGTGGGTTTCCCACCTACGGCCCTCCATGTTGCGCTTTGGCCACTCGGGCGCCGTAGCGTACACCACGCAAACAGCCACGCCAGATCTCTCGGTATACGCTAAGCCCCGTGGGCCCATAGGTGGTGTGGTGCCGCTTGTTTTGTGGTCAATCGGCCAGATGTTCTGCAGCCATCTGTCAGTAAGCAGAACACAGCCCCTAACCCTAATAGCATAATGAATCGTCTGAGACGTCTGCACGTGGGTGGTTTCGTCTGACACGTCTGCAGAAAAAGGCCCCCTGTGCCTGATGCCCTTGTCCCTCCCGACTCCGGTCCCCTCCCAATGGAGTGGGGGTCCTTGGTGTTGCTGCTCCTTCTGCACACAGTCAAGACGTTGAGCCAAGAACCACTTAGGCTTCAGGAGGGGAGGCCTCTCCGTCGCCGATGCGTCCTCGAGGTGGCAGCCAGCCTCGAGGTGGCAGCCAGCTTCGATGGCCCTAGCAAGAGTCCAAGGGGCCTGACAGGCGAACCCTCTGATACAACCCGTTTCCCACGCAGAGAATTTCGAGGAAGACATGGCGGCGAGGTGCACGTCCAGGCACGCCCTAGACCCCAAACCAAGAGACTCCCCGAACTTACGTTCATGACACCTAAGGACAGCAACTTTAAACGGAGAAGGTTAAAGGCGAGGTATAAATCGAGCATGTACCGCTGCCGTGCCTGGCTCAAGCCGGGCCCGGCCAAATATATGACTGTGCCTCACTGAGGCGCACGACTTGCATCAGAGATCGGAAAATACCTTTTCCATTGACGATGCCCATCCTATCCTTTACTCCAGATCCCATGCTTCGTCTTGCACTTTTGCTCATGCGCTATGAGCCAAAGCCTGGGATATGGCAACGCTTAAAGCGTAACACATACTTAAGTTTACCAGCTTGTTTTCGACTTGGTAGCGGAGCTGGCTACACTCTCGTGTGGCTGGCTCTCGCTCTGATTCCTGTAATCCACGGCACAACTTGGTGGACTACTACTACGGTGGAATACCATGTCGCGCCGGCTCTGCGAGGAGCGGAGCCAGTCCGCGATCGAGCTAGCGGGGCAACCCGCGAACTCGAGACGCTCTCTCCTACTTCACTGCGCTACTTCACTCCCGACTTCCACCAGATGCCAATCGGCAACTCGATCGAGAACGTGGTCACCCTGCGGGGCTACCCGCAGCGGGGCCACCTGCATCCCGTGCCAGTCAGGCGCCTCACGGCTACTACGCCAGAGCCTGACAAACCACAGCCTAAACCAATCACCGAAGCCGAAATGCACATGCATTGGATTAAGATAACTATCTTCGGCATTCTGTGGGTAATAATGGGATGTGCTGTGGGATACATGCGGCAGGGGATGGACGACACGCGTACTACTGGCCCTTCATGGGACCCTGCCGGTACTACGCCTTTTCGCGAATACGTTCGCGAAGTACATGCATGGTTAAACGTAACGAGTGGCAATATGACACCACCACAACAAGCTGCAGCACTACAACGAGGCCTTCAAGGTCTGGCTCGTCGTATCGCCATGCAGGTCCCCTCCCAGATCATCAATTATGGTGTAACTGTCAATGGACAGCCAACGGATGCAGTAACATATATACTGTACTTACTGAGCACCAAATTTGAAAATCTGGAAGATGAGCGCCAGCTCAACTCTGGCACTGCCCTTATCGACTTCCGCGTCGAAAGGGGCGAGCGAATCGACTCAGTATTAGCTCGATTCGAGATGGCCCGTGACGAGGCTAACTCTGTTGGCTTTGTCATCCCCAACTTTCAGATCCTAACGCTGATTCTCTTCAGAGCGTTAGGCGTTGGCGCGTCACGAGCCCAACACCTGCTTGAGCCCTTCAATCATCAGATGCCCCGAACACAAGCAGACTATGACAGGCTGCTGACCAGGATGAGGAACTACGGACATGTTGCCGAGCGCTCTCCTGGCAACATAGCGGGTATCTTCACAGGGCACCACTCACATGCAGGTGTCTACGCCACGACTGCGGGGTCACCCGCTGGTCCTGGCGAGCCAAATCCCTGGGCTGACCCAGCCGATATGCCCAACGAGGCCACTGCCCTTCTAGGGCAGACCGGCCAGGCATCGGCAGAGGCAGCTGAGGCGAACGCCTGGTCGAACTACTCGCCAGGCGCCGCCTACACTGCAAGCCCGCCCTCGGGCACAACCCTCTGGGGCCAAGCGGAGTCATCCGCTCAATGGTCTCAGCCACCCTCACCGTTTGAATCTGGCACTGACACAGATACCTCATCTGACGATGAGCACAATGGAATAGTCTCTGCTGGTAATGACTACCCAGCGGATGACACTCACCTCTCTGAACAACAAAGGGCGGAAGCCGTTTTTATGGCCTATCGCAAATCAAAACGCCGTTGGAGGCGCTTTATGAAGAAACCAGTCAGAAAGGTGAGACGTGCAGTACGCCGACATTTCAAACGATTTGGAAAGGGTCGTGGCAAAGGGGGCCGCAGACGCCGTATGCATGGTAGGGGTATTACTGCTTTCCTCACGTCCTTAACTGATATGGCTTTTGAAGAAGTACTTATCGGAGGCAAGGGTCGGGGTCACAGGCGGACCTCCGGTAAGGGAAAGGGGCGGAGGGGCAACCCTAGGGACGCTTCTGGTAATACTATGAAGTGTCATACATGCGGTAGCACAGAGCATTTGCGCGATCAATGCCCGAAGGGGAAAGGAAAGGGACCCGTACATTTGGCTCAAAATTCTTTTATGGATGACATAGATTACATTGACTACGAGTTTTACGTCAATCCAGAAGCGGCTCCCGCTGCGGGCTCCTCCACGTATTACGTGATGGCCCGCTACGCTGAAGCAACTGTGGCTCTGGAAGACTACGCAGTGACCCTCTTCGACGAGTTCCACGGCTGGGACGAGGTCGACGAGGTCGCGTACAATGCTTGGTTCGGTCTTCCAGCGGGGCCACCCGCCGGCGACGAGGTCTCCGAAGCCGAGACCATCCCGGCAACAGAGGAAGAACTCACCGCCGTGCTGGCCCCGCAAGTGATTGGCATGCCGTTGCTGCCAAATCCTTCGTGGGCTGGTTCGGAGGCGGGAGACGCCGATGACGAAATGCGGGGCCATCCCGCGTATTCCGACTCCGAAGAAGCCGAAGAAGATTATAAGGACATGCTCCAAGAGCAGGCTTCAGAAGCCATCCGACTTCTGAGCGCGCCAGCACAGCAGCAGATAACTATGAACGAACTGCTGTCACACCCAGGAGTTGCACGTCTACGTCCATACTTGGATTCGGACATGTCAGCATCTCAGATGCCGACAGCACTCCAAGCTCTAGCGGGGTCACCCGCCGAAGGGACGCCAGACACAACAGCGGAGCCACCCGCTTGGTCTATGGATGTATTCATGCAAGGTTGTGATCAAATGGACATTAACGACCTCACGATGGAGCAGTTAAACGACATCGGGTACTTCCGAAGCCCGTATCAAAACGTGTTCATGGTCCAGGACAGCTCCGAGGACTCGGAGGACATGCGCTACGCCAAGAGGGACAGACGACCGTCGCCTCCCCGAGACTCAGAGCATGACGACCAAAGGCCAATGGCACGTGGTAGTGCGTCAGCGGGGCCAGCCCGCAGGAGGAGCCGTTCAGCTCCCAGACGCCCCACACATGATGAATCGGGCTATCCATACAGTACTGAGCACTCCGTTGGAGTATCCGCTCAGCATGTGCCGGATTGGTACATCAAATGGTACCCCGGCTACTCGATGGACACGCTTCGCCACTGGTATTCTAAAGAGTACTGCACTAAAAGGGACGAAACTGGCGCGATAATACGTACCAAGGGTGGCAAGACCAAGACGCCAGAGGCTTGGGACAAAAGGGCTAAGAAACAGGAGATCATCAACGATCGCAAGACATACAGGAAACAAGTATGTCAGTGCGAGCCCTTCAAAGGTCACATGCGCAGGTGTCCGATGGACCGCCCCTCCAGGAGCCCTCATCATGGTGAGACCCCGTGGAATTGGTCTCATGGAGATGACGCTGGCAACCTCCATGATCCTAATAAGGAGGTCCCTGGAGGAGGAAAGCGCATCACCGAAGCCGATCGTGTCCCTACGACCGAAGAGGTGGCCAACATCGTCAGGGAAAATTGGGCACAGCTTCCCGATGACCATCGCCTCAAAGAATGGAACCGCCGATTCCATAAAGAGGCGGGGTCACCCGCAGGATCCAGTAAAGAGGCGGGGTCACCCGCAGGGGCGGGGTCACCCGCAGGATCCAGCAAAGAAGCGGGGTCACCCGCAGACGCGGCGCCAGCCGCTGGGTCCGCGGAAGACGATTGGATAGCTGTTGCATCTGCTGCTGAGTCCGCCGCCGGCACTGACCACACCGAACTGAATGAAGAATGGGCGGCGGAAGACGGCTCAGAGAATCCATTCCCTGATGGAAGTGCCTGCTGGTACTACAGCTCTTCGGCGCAGAAGTGGTTTTGCACGAGGGTAATCTACCGCCATGAGAATGGCAAGTACAAGCTGGCCATAAAAGGTACTGCCGACATCGACCAGATGAGGCAGGTCATCCATGATCATGGCCAGCCAGAAGGCCCTCCTAGAGACCCTCCTGGTCCACAACCGGGCAAGGGCAGCAGACCACCTCCAAGACCTAAAGCCGACTCCTCGTCTTCACCGACTCCTGCGAAAAGGCACCCGTCCAAGAGCCCCGAAGGCACACAGGGGCGGGCGAAGGCCAGAGGGATCGCCAAAACGGACGACCCTGAGCCGGCAGATCCTCCTGGTCTGTCCGTGACAGAGAGGAAGAAGGCTTTTGCTGGACCATCGACTCCGATGCCACCGGCGACCCAAGGCGATGTCAAGGACGAAGTTCGCGACAAGCCTCAGGCAGCTTTCCGAGGTGACTGGACTCCAACTCTGCATCAGCCGCGCCTTGCACCACGACCAGGTTCGGCACGAATGAAAGCGCAGCCGAAGCCCGAAGCTGGGATGCGGTCGGTGCGGGCAGAAGCGGCCGCCAAAGCTAAGGAGGACAAGGGCTCTGCGGGGCCACCCGCTAAAGCGGCGCCAGCCGTAACAGCGAGGACACCCGCAGAAGGCACTCTCTCAAGAGAAGAACGCTTCAGAGTCCTTAAAGAATTTGGCGACCAACAGAAGCTAACCGATGATGCAGCTGCTGACGAAGGTCACCCGAACCCTGGCGCGGAGTCATCCGCAGGAGCTGCCTCGTCGGCCGCAGGTTCTGCAGGGCCGCCCATTAAAGCGGCGCCAGCTGCATTAGCGGGGCCACCCGTTAAAGCGCCGCCGGCTGCATTAGCGGGGCCACCCGCACAAGGGCAGCCAATAATGTCTGTTCTCAGGAACATCCCTTTGGGAGCCATCGAATACTGGCAAGGCATTGAAGGCAAAGGCCCGAAGCGCACCATAAACCCACGAGTCACTCCGGACGATACGGACCGATACGAAGTCATTAATTGTCCGGTTCGTCGTAACTTCGAGTGCCGCAACGACTGGGAACGTGAACAACAAACCGTGGGAAATATGTTGCGAGACAGGCCGCCACTACGCGTTGCGCAGCATAAAGCAGAGCTCCAGAAGGTCATGGAGAGGTTCGGCATGGATCCGACTTTGCCG